ACAGAGTGAAATTCAAACTTCATCACCTTTAGGAAAGAAAAATGAAAGGCACAGATATAGAATCAGTAATAATGGGTTTGGTAATGCTCTTTGGGTAGAAAAAAACTTGGAATATTGGTGGCAAGCTGAAGGTGAGCCAATGTGTGATGTGGCTTCAAATAATTCCCAGCAATTTTATACTATATCAAAAGTAGCATAATTTCTAAACCATGGGAAGTAATGGTGCCACTTTACTCTGCCTTAGTTGGACCCACCTGGAGAATTGTACCCAGTTTTTAGCATCCCATTAAGACATACTCAGAGAAGGGCAATAACAATTACTGGGGGTGGAAAATAAAGGTAACGAAGAGAAACTGAGGAAATGGGAATGTTTAGTCTTGAAAAGACTGAGATGAGATATATTAATACTCTTCAAACACATTAAATACTTGAAAGCACACATAAGAAAGCCAAGAACCTCTTTTCTAATGTGTAGGGGAGAGAATACAGGTATTCCTTTAGTGGCCACAATTGCAACTGACAACTTGGTCATTAAGCAAAGTAATCACCAAGTGAAACCGCATCTGTGCTTACAATTTTACTTCAGGTTTCCTTTGTTTTATAGACCTGTGAAGATTGTAAATGAAAGAATTGGTGGTAAAGTTACTTTTTCATCACTGTCGGAACTGCAAATAGTTACTGAATGAGGTAGTCACCAAACAAGGACTACCTGTAATGGATTTAAAAGAAAGGAAAGCAGACCCCAGTTCAATATCAGGGGGAAAACCAAAAGATCAGTTCAATACTGCATTCAGTTATAGACATGTGGATTCTCCTTCATTGGGGAGATGAAACAGGTGCTTTAAAGGAGGTTGGAGTTACTGTTCAAAATGCATCCTTACAAGTCTATGATTCTATCCTCCTTTGGCTATCATACTGGTTTCTGTTAAATTATGGTGGTTATAAATACTTCTTCATTTGTAGAGGAAAAAATGTAAATCTTCCATGTCATCTGCCTGTGTGTGTGTGTGTGTGTGTGTGTGTGTGTGTGTGCGCGCACAAGCATGTATTCTTCATGGGATGGAAAATACTGATAGTTGCATGAAAGAGAAACTGAAAGAGTAGAGAACTAGAGAATGAAATGGACTCTCTACTCAATTTATTAGGAGTCTCAACTGGTCACAGAAAAACCCATCAATTGTTTTGTTACATTTTGTGGCAATTAGTCCCATCATAATCTGTAAAAATTTGCTTGGGAACTGGCTATTTGTTTTTTGTATTAAACCTGGAGGGATCAAGCATGCCCACTCTTTTTCAACAACAAAAAAGCGGCTTAAGGAAAATGAATTTATAAATCAGTATGTCATTTGTATGCCCCTCAGCAGCTGCTCCCCAGAATATATTAACACCATCAGCAACCAAGCACGGAAAATTGGCTGCCTGTCCACTAGTGACTCACAGTTCAATCCAGCTGCAGGATAATCTCTAACACAAGAGGACTCATCTCACAAGCGTTCATCATGCAGGGGAGAAAAAAAGAGAGAGAGAGAGAGGGGGGGGGAGAGAGAGGGAGAGAGGAAAGAAAGAAAGAAAGAAAGAAAGAAAGGAAGGAAGGAAGGAAGGAAGGAAGGAAGGAAGGAAGGAAGGAAGGAAGGAAGGAAGGAAGGAAGGAAGGAAGGAATGTTTGTAATTTATTTTTCTCCTTTACAATATCAGGGAGATTTTTTTCTGTATTTTCTATATTTCTTTTTTTTTGCATATATGTATGTATCTTGGAATTATGTTAATGCAGCTGCCAGATAGGTAGGTAGATAGACAGATAGATGCATCAAGATAGGTGGATAAAAAGATAAAGTTGCTAGATCAGTGGTTCTCAACCTTTTTAATGCCGCGACCCCAACCGATCGTAAGTTGAGGATTAAACCGGTCGTAAGTCGAGGACTAAACCGGTCGTAAGTCGAGGACTAAACTGGTCGTAAGTCGAGGACTACCCAACCGGTCGTAAGTCGAGGACTTTCCCTGCCCGGGAGTGCCGCGCATGCGTGGTTCCGCCCCCTGCGCCGGGCGAGGCGTAGCTGGCAAGCGGCAGAGATGGAGCAGGCCGACCACCAGCTGGCCCAGCCCAAGGGAGGTAAGGCACCCGCCGGAAAAGGGGGGAAAAATGGCAGACAAAAAAATGGCGGACAGCCTTGCTTGGCGACCCCCATGAAATGGTCGATCAACCCCAAATGGGGTCCCGACCCACAGGTTGAGAACCACTGTGCTAGATGGATATAAATCCTAGGAAACCAATCCTTAATTAAACATGAGCTCTTTAAAAGCTCTTTTACACTGCCCTACCAAAAGAGCATAAAGGGAAAGTAGGATGAGGGATTTAGATGGGTTTAAGTTGCAATTATGCAATTACACAAGGCAATGTGGTTGGAGTAGGGAAGGTGGAGTGGGAGAACAGGGTACAGAAAGACAATTGCTGTCAATGGGAATTAAGCAATTATGGCCTTGTAAGGGGGACAGTGGACCGTGGCCAGTGGCCTCAACACTGAATTAATATTTTTTTTCATTTAGGGCAGCAAATCTAATAACCTAGAATGGCAAACAGTTATTTCAATCCCTTTCCCCCAAACTCAACATAATGCTTCCTCCCCCTTCCTGATCTCTGATTTGTTGGCTTTAGTGGATGAAAAACAATGAGGCAGGAAGGGATGGATGTTGTGGTAATATATTTTATGAAGAAGAATCAAATCTAACAAATCACTTTAAAAAAAAGCATGGCATAACTTTGTTCCAGTATGGAAGTAGAGGATAGAAATGGGTTGTCCCCACATTTTTATCTGCCTTCTCTGTCTCACCAAGGATAACCAGCTATGATATTTCTGACCTGAAGGCAATCCCCAGGTGTTTTATTCCCTCCCTGCAGTCAAATACAAATTATTTCAATTACAAACCACCCCCTCTCAATTAATCTATTTCTCTAGAACAGGTATGTCAAACTCGCGACATCATGTGACGTCGCTCGACGTATCACAACTTTTTCCCATTGCCAGCAATGGGGTGGGTGCGGTTTCGGCGTGGGCCAGCAGTTTGACATACCTACTCTAGAAAGTTCTCCCCTTTAGGGATTGGGAGGAAATGGACTATATTATTAACCACCAGGCTAAGTCATTCTTTACAGTCAAAAATGTAGAATGTGCCAGAAAGGCCATTGGATCCTCTAGGGACAATCTTGGCTAGATGAGGTGGGTCTCTTCCCTCTGAAGTGGCTGCTTTCCATTTGATGACTCATGGTCACTAGGAAGGTGTGAAAGATCTTCATCTCCCTCCAGAGCCTCGAAGACCTTTTACTGCTCAGGGAAAGACAAGTCACCACCCTTGACTCCCTAGTCCAACAATTCATCAGGAGAGATGTTGACTAAACATGACCAGACATGGAATGGCTGCAGATCCAGGGCCATCTACTTGGCACCCCAGCTCAATTGTCAAACATCTCACATCCCAGCACAGTATCTGCTACTTGAGACAGCTGCCTTCTCCTGCTTAATGGTAGGGCCAGCCCCATCTTCAATAGTTATTTGCTCTTCACTTAGATCTGACTCTACCTATCATCTAGCAATGCTTCATGAATGTATCATAGCTATTCAGGGACAGTCTGAAATGAGGTGCTTGGAACTTTATGAAAAACAGCAGAGAGAGCATAGTCTGAAAGAAATGAGCTATGGGGTTATCAGCTGGAGTGCTTTTTTAAGTCAAGGTCAAATGAAATAAGCAGTAAGAGACTGGCTCCCAATGGCAGAGCAATGGATGACACCTTCCCATTTACAACTACGGTATTCACAATTCAGGGCCTGGAACCAAGCAAGTAATTTGGATATATAAAACACAAGATCCCACAAGCACGTCTGACCACTTTGGCATTAAAAAAAGAACACAATGATAAATAAAGGGCTCAAATGTGCTACTCTTTTGTGTCACATAAGACCTTCTGGCCCAATGAAGCTTCTCTCTTTAGCCAAATGTTAGGGCTGGCCCTGATTCCCATTCATTTCTTTGATGTTTGTGGAAGAGATTGCTGGATTATGTCCCAACTCTTAATTAGATCAAAAGAGGATGACATTCAGACTTTTCTAATCCAAGTGCCAAAATGTGTTCAGTGAAGTCATAATTCATGAGGACAACTGACCATCAACTAGTAGTTAATAATTCAGAATTGAATTCTGTTCCAAATTATGCTGGATTATTCTCAGAACCAGCATTGCTTGAGAGAATGAATGTTAAGTAATATGGGGAAAGAAAAACCAAATGTACAGGTATAGTATAGGGGGTACCTTGCTCAATAGTAGTAACTGTGAGAGGGATCTCGGAGTCCTAGTGGACAATCACTTAAATATGAGCCAGCAGTGTGCTGCAGCTGCCAAAAAAGCCAACACAGTGCTAGGCTGCATTAACAGAGGGATAGAATCAAGATCACGTGAAGTGTTAATACCACNCCTTTCCTTTCCTTTCCCCAGAGTAATCCCTACTGATTTTCTGTTTTTGAAATTGAAAAAACATTTCATTTGACTGGTTTTATGCACATTTTAGCACGCACATAGCTCAGATATTTGTTTTATATGCTTTAAAAAAAGTATATTAAAAAGGAGACTAGGAGCCAAGAAATACTGGGTGAAAATAAACAACCCAGGTCACTCTGTCCTGAAAGTTCTGGTTTTGCAAGGAAGATGGGGTAATTTTTGCTGTACTCCAATAATTCTTTTAGTTGTTCTTACTTTATTTTCAGGCTGCCGAGATCAAAAAGGCAAGATTGGAATTTGGGCCCCTGCAGTGCTGCAATGGGAATGGTTCTCCTTTCCCCCTCCCTCCCTCCCTCCTTGCTCCCCTCCCCAACCGAGAGAGCAGAGGATGACAAATGCACGGGGAGAATGTCATTGAGACCTGTGTAATATTCATCAACTTCCTCCAGCCAAACGTAATTTCCATTAATAGAGAACTGGGATTCTTGTCCCAAAATAGCTAGCTGTGTGTTGATAAGGGCCAGCTAGAGGGAGTAGATCTGCACACTCCAGGTCTGGGCAGAGAGTTTTAGGACGCCTCTGGAACTGGACATGTCGGAACGTCAAGTGCCCTTCACTTTTCTACGCAGCCCCAGCTGGGACTGGTACAGAGGCAGCAGGCTCTTGGACCAGTCTTTTGGGATGCCACTGATTCCCGAGGACTGGTACAAGTGGTCTGCAGGGACCACCACCAGCTGGCCAGGTTACGTACGACCTCTGATCAGCTCAAGTCCAGAGCCGGTGGCCGCTACTCCCGTCGTCAGCTCACCGGTTGTAGCCAACCCTGCCTACAACCGGGCTTTGAACCGCCAGTTGAGCAGCGGAATCTCTGAGATCCGGCAGACTTCAGATAGCTGGAAAGTGGCATTGGATGTCAACCACTTTGCACCGGAAGAGTTGATGGTGAAGACAAAGGATGGTGTAGTAGAAATCACTGGTGAGTAGCTTCTCTTGAGGTCTCTCAAACATCTCCCTTCTCCAAATCAGTTCTTCAGCTGTTCCCGCGGCACAGACCAGTGATTTTGAGCCAAATTCTAAGGTCATTAATGGTTGATGCAGTGCTTTGGGGCGGGTAAGGAGGAGTGCTCAGAGGTTTACACTTCATAAATGATAGTTGAGATAAACAGCCTTCCAGTGTGGAGGTTCCATTGTTTGTAGGATTATTGCCTATGAGAAGATGTTGAGCTGATTAATCATCTGTCTTTAACCACTTAATCCATTCATTTAAAAATATTTCTCCTTTGATAGTGTAGTTATTAAAATCTCAATTATAAACACCAATATGTAAAGGAGAATATTTGTATCTCAGGATTGAAATGAGGGGTCCTTGGTGCTCTCTGAGTTTGGTGTTTTCTTGCAGACGTTTCGTTACCCAAACTAGGTAACATTGTCAATGCTAATGAAATGTCTGCAAGAAAACAACCAAGGTCAGATAGGACCAAGGACCCCTCACACCTATATTTATTTTTTATTTATTTTATTTATGGAATTTATATTGAAAGAAATCTGAAATAATACAACTGCCTTATACCACGCAGGCTCTACTCCTTTGCCCTATTTACTTCTTAAATTCTATCCTTTTAAAGTTTTCACACCTTGTTAGCTTTTTTCCCTATAAATTCCCTTTCCTATAAAGATAAACTTTATTGGAGCATTTTGTATTGACCCATCCTTTAGAAATAGGATTTGTTATTTTTTAAATAATATAGATACTAAAATTGCATGAGATATAAAAAAAATCTTTAATACTTGAAATACAGCAGCAGTCTCCAAGTTTGGTCAAGCAAAAATGTGCATTCAGATAATGCATTTCAAATGGGGAAAAAAATGAGCTGTAAACGAACCAATCAATCAATGAGCCTTTTTGAGGACTGGTTTAAGGTTTTAGTCAACTGAAGCCAGCAGTCCTTTCTCTTAGAAAGCCTCGTCAACAGCTTTTGCTAGACAGGTCACAAGAGACTTATTACAGGATTGTACAGAAGGCTCTTTGAGTGCTCAACATGCTTTTAACAGGACATAATGAAGAAGCTCCATTCTCTGGCTCCAGTAGGTTTTTGTGCTATAAAAAGGTCGCATTTTAATTTCAGGTTATTGCTTTATTAAAAACGTGAGGCATTGTGTGACTGCACCTGATTTTATGGCTTTTTTGCTGCAGTCATTAAGCAAATCACTGCAGTCATTAAGCGAGGCATCATGTGTGTTTGCGACTTTCAACCTTCCCTGCCAGTTTCCCCGTTTGCTTTGCTTGAGAGAAGTGGCTGGGAAGGTCGCAAACGGTGATCATGTGACCGTAGGACGCTGCAACTGTTGTAAGTGCAAGCCATTTGCTAAGCATCCGGATCGTTGCACCTGCCGTACGTGTGAGGACTGGTCGTAATTCACTTTTTTCAGTGCCATCGTAACTTTGAATGGTCGCTAAATGAATGGTTGTGAGTCAAGGACTACCTGTAAGGGGGATTCCTAAGCTGCTTCTCTCCCCAGTTGCTTCTGACTATTCTTCCAGCCAACTTCAGACCTTCCAATCCAGCTTGACAATGGGGGCAGGCTGTGCTCAGCCCAGATTATGGCCACTGGAAGACCGTAGCGCACATATCAGGAAGAGAGCGGAGTTCCCTGACGATGGGTTGTAGCACAAGCCCGAAAGCTTGCAAGAATAAACCTTTGGTTCCAGTGACCAACTCAGATCGGATCCTGCAACATTATCCTGGGACACACATGATTACCTGCATTTACTAGAAGACCTGCTAGGTCATTCCTTTGCGGCTGGCTCTTCCCATCCTTGCTGGCTGGTTCCTGGTTGGGCCAATCTACCCATGTCCATCTTTTCCTTTTAGGGACTGTTCCCGTCTCACCAATCCCTGGGCTTTTCCTTTGCTTTCTCAGATGATTGTACACATATTTTCACGCCCACATCCGATACCAGCTCCTTTGATACTGCTATTGGTCTTTTCTCTCTCTCTCTTTCTCTCTCTCTCCCCTCCCCCATCCAAATTTGTAGCACCACAGCTCCCAAACCAAAGCAAACAAGGTGTTCCCTGTTGGCTCCATGGAAAGTTGATAGCAATGAAGAACTGAGAATTCAGCTTCATAGAAAGCAAAGTAGCAAAAATCCTACTTTTGACAGGGAATGTGAGGGAGGCCAAACTTAACAACCCACCTAGGTAAAGGATTTAGGAGTTGGAACATTTACATCCCAACGACTCTCTATCTACTCACCTAAGGAGGTGAGAAATGAAACCTTCCTGGAGGACACAATGAGTATGGAGTTTCCCTAACCAACTTGCTCAGGCTGAAGAAGCTACTTGGATCAGCAGCAAAAACATTTCGAATCAACAGGAAAAGAAGTCCAATTGCCCTGACTCGACTGCCAGACAAAAAAGGAACACGCTTCACCCATCCTGGGCAGAAATCAAAAGGGAGACATCAAAGTTGAATGGTGCACATGCTTCTAAGGCTGGTTTGAGTTAGATTCATTGACTTACTAGGACATTACTGGGTCAGCTGCAAGGTTACTTAAAAATCCACAACTGTCAACCAGCAGTAAACTGAGCAGCCCACAAGCCCAGGTTGAAACAGCTGTGCAGGGCAGTGACCAAGGGGAGGGGGAAATGCCAGGCACTGCAGCCAATCAGAGTTTGGGCTGCTGGTAGAATGAATCAAAGCACTGGAGACCCCCTCTTAGGTCAGAAAATAACAGTTTTGGATTGCAGGTGGAAAACACTCTGGAAATGGCCTAGGAGGTGATGGTGGACAACATTGTCTTTTCCTGCACTCAGAAAATGCTGAATAGCCCAACATCAGTGCACATCTGCCCCTTAAAGTTTAGTTTTTCCAAGAGGCTTCTAGAAAGTGGAAGAAAAAAGAGAGGGAGAGAATGGGGCTGCTGTTATTGCTGATTTTAAGACATTTATGGGACTTCTTTGGGACTTCAGTGGAGATTACAGCCTTGAGTTGACCATAACAACATTGCTGAAATTATAGAAAACAGGGCTTTATATTTGCCTATCAACTATACAAGCAGGAACATAGATCATCTTAGCTGAGCAAAATACAGTACAAATCCATTTAAATGAGTATAATGGCTCCCGGGTCTATGAGCCTTGAAAAGTTTTTGTTTGTGTGTCTGTGTTTTTTTGAGTCAGCCTTGACTAGAGGCAACTGCAGTTTTCTTGGCAAGGTTTTTCAAAAGTGCTTTGCTTTATTCTCCAAGGTCTGAGAATGAAGAACTGGCCCAAGGTCATCCAGCTGGCTATCTAATACCAAGTTCTATGGTGGTCTGTACAACACTATGAATTTAGTACTGAATTATTTCATTTTTCTGTCCACAATACAACCAATCAATAAACCAGCCAAAGAGTTCGGTAGACACAATACGCACTAAGCCAGGGAACAAAACAAATAACAAACTGGCCCAAGCTTAGCCAGTTTAAAGTCTATTGGTCCTGTTTTAAAAACTGGGGACTTCTGACTTTAATTTAGTCCAGTGTTTCTCAACCTTGACAATTTTAAGGCATGTGGACTTCAACTCCCAGAATTCCACAGCCAGCAATGCTGGCTGTGGAATTCTGGGAGTTGAAGTCCACATGCCTTAAAATTGTCAAGGTTGAGAAACACTGATTTAGTCTATTGCAGCAGGATCAACAAATAGTTTTGCATCTTAAAAGACAAATATGGTTCATATAGCTGCAGGATCTTTTGTAGAGGTGGTTCTATCAGAAGCAGTTGTGCAATGCCACTCTTCTGTCTACGAGCAGAGATAAAAAGAACAAAGGTGGGTGAGAGCAGAGGAAGCAAACAAAGAAATTGCATAGCTGGGAAACTTCACTTCCCTATCTCCATTGCCAGCTGGATTGCAGCTGGCCTATTCCATGCTTGATTAAAATCAAGGGACCTGATTAGGTTCCAGATAGATTTTTTTGAAGTATACTATCCAACTTCCCTATAACATAGGTCTCTTGGACTCAACATGCACATTTAAATCATTCTCTAAGGCAAAAAAGATATTTCTCGCTTTTTGCTAAAGTGTGCCGACTCAAAGAGTTTCAAAAGATTACAAGACCAAGTTAGCCAAGCAGTGTATTCATTTAATCACATCATAGACACATTTTTGTCTCAATTCTTATAAAAATAATTGCTTACCAAGCAAGGCTTTCGGGGGGCGGGGTGTCAAAAAAATCAAGGCAGCGCCTATTATCATATGATTGAAGCAACCAATGCAATGTGCCTTGTTCAAAAGGGGCAGGGCTTCAATCATGTGATGACAGCAGCCATGTTGAATTTTTGATCTGGGGAGATTGTCAAAATATCAAGATGGTGGCTACAATTGTGCAATGGAAGCCCTGCCCCTTTTTAAAACTCCACGAGACATGATACATGTAAAACAGGGGTGAGGCTTTGATCATGTGATCATGGCCGCTACCTTGATTTTTTAAATTCCACCTCCCATTGACATCCCTGTCCAACCAATCATCCTCTATGTTAGTTACAATTCTTGCACTATAGTTACTACAAGCATTCTTTATTGTTTTTAAGCCACAGTACATCAATTCTCATATGAACCAGACGCAGCCCGTAGCTGTCTTTGGCTGATCTTGAATAGATAAATGGGAAAAGACCTGTTTGGTGATAGGATGGGAGACCACCCAGTAATCCAGATGCTATACTTGGAAGTTGAAAAATATCTCAGAAGTAGACTATGGCAAAGTACTTCATCTGTTGCCAAGAGAACTATATAGTTGTCCTTTTTGATTATATGGTAGCAAGAGTAGCCAAGTGACCTGAAAACAACTTTCTAAAATACTTTTGGGCTTTAAAACAAGCCTATTATGGTCTGTAGATAAAGCTGCTGTTGATGATTCAGCAGCAGTCACGCAGAAAGAGAAAAAAAATAACAGTTCAATCAGCAGAACCTTGACTGATTCTTTGAAGGCAAGATGAATGTATAGGTAGTCCTTGACTTGCAATCCTTCAAAATTACAATGGCACTGGAAAAATTTACTCACAAAAGGTCCCCATACTTACGTCTGTTGCAGCATCTCTTTGGTCAGGAAATCAAAATTTGGACTCTTGGCAACTGGCATGCATTTACAATGGTTGCATGTATGTCTTCTGCTTATGTGATCACCATTTGTGACCTTCCCAGCTAGCCTCTGACAATGGAGAAAGCCGGATTTGCTTAATGACCATATAATTCACTTAACAACCACAGTGAATTTGGTTTTAAAAAGTGGCAAAAAGGTTGTAAAACTGGGCATCACTCCCTTAACCGCCCTGCTTAACAATGGAAATTCTGATCCAAATTGTGGCTGCTAATTAGTTGAAGATTACCTGTACTGTGTCTACAGCTTCTGACTCTTCCAAAGAATTCTCTCCAAATTCAGCAAGGAACCTTCTGCTCATACTCGTCCAAGAAGACATTTATGCATTTAAATTTTCATTTATTTTAACCATTTTTTAAGTGGAGGAGTCTTACCCAACACCATTACACACAAAATTACTAAAATTAAGGCACAATTTTGCTTAATTGTACTCCTCTGAATAATGGCTATATAAAATTAAATTATTTTTTGTTGGGAAAAACAAAAGAAGGGGAAAGCTACTACCTCCAATAGCTATTTGCAGGGATGTCCACGGGTTGGAAAGTCAGTCTTTCAGACCTTTTTCAGAATAGTCTACATGAACTATGCAGAATAGTCTTTGTAGTCTAAAATGGACTACATAAATCTATTCATTTTTTAAATTGGAAAGCATGGATGGTTCTGTCACAGAGGTATTTTGTTTTCCAGGCAAGCATGAAGAAAGACAAGATGAACACGGATTCATTTCCAGATGTTTCACAAGGAAATACACGTAAGTAGATGTTATGATTCTCCAGATGATCCCTGCATGCAAGAAAGATGGAAGCAATAGCAAACACAGAATTTGCCTCTCCATTATATTCTCTGAATACAGAGAATACAGGAGCCAGGTGAGGCTGTGGTTAGAATGTGGTATTGCAAGCTAATTCTGCCAACTGCCAGCAGTTCGATTCTCACCAGCTCAAGGTTGACTCAACCTTCCATCCTTCCAAGGTTGGTAAAATGAGGACCTAGACCAGTGGTTCTCAACCTTTTTAATGCCATGACCCCAACCGGTCGTAAGTCGAGGACTACCCAACCGGTCGTAAGTCGAGGACTTTCCCTGCCCGGGAGTGCCGCGCATGCGTGGTTCCGCCCCCTGCGCTGGCTGAGGCGTAGCTGGCAAACGGCAGAGACAGAGCAGGCCGACCACCAGTTGGCCCAGCCCAAGGGAGGTAAGGCACCCGCCGGAAAAGGGGGGAAAAATGGCGGACAAAAAAAATGGCGGACAGCCTTGCTTGGCGACCCCCATGAAATGGTCGATCGACCCCAAATGGGGTCCCGACCCACAGGTTGAGAACCACTGACCTAGACAATATGCTAGCTCTGTAAATCGCTTAGAGAGGGCTGTAAAACACTGCGAAGTGGTATACACAGTAAGTCTAAGTGCTATTACTAACTGCTATTGCTGAATAAATATCTGCTTGCAGCTGAACTGGAAGGTTTCTGGGTGTGCAGAAAGCCAGGAAAAGTTATGCTTTATACCAGGGTTGTCCAACCTTGGCAACTTTTAAGACCTGTGGACTTCAACTCCCAGAATTCCACAAGTCTTTAAGTTGCCAAGGTTGGATACCCCTGCTTTACACCCTCTCTTGCAGCTTCAAAACGTACCTCCCCAGCTGTGCAAAGAAATAAGCCTTCAACCTTGGTTTCCTTCCTCTCCATGAGAGAATGGCCCTTAAACATTTTGCATATCCCTTTCTGAAACTTCTTTTGCTCCCTGTATTTCTATAGCAGAGTGAACAGAATTGTGCTCACTTAATACATCAACCACACATGCAGTATTTTATAAAGGGATCATTATATAGGCAGTTTTATTTTTTCCTTTCTTTTATCATGATTCTCAACAGCAGGAAATATAATACCAGATAGTTACATCATCCTATCTAATACTTTAAATGTTGTAAAATACCGACATAATATCAAGTGGAAATCTTTAGAGAGAATGTGGGTTATCAGTGGCCTTTCAAATCTCATAGGACTCCAAGCCCCATTATCCCTGACCATAGAAGATGGTCCACTATGGGTCGCAGCCACTAGTGGCCTGCAGCCTGTTCGAAACTGGGCTGTACAAATGGAGCTGTGTGCGCTTGTGCACGCACCTACCACTCACACAGAACCATCCCCTCTCCCTGCCTGGCTGGACCACCAAGTCAGAAAGGTTGGGGACTATAGATTAGGGCATTGCTGGAATCTATCAGATTTCTAGAAGGCATCTAATACCATACCTCTTCCTACCTTTCTCAATGTCAAATGGGAGGTGTTTCTGGACCCCCGTGTGCCCTATGAGATTATAGTTTGCAGCGTAGTTAAAACCTATGCAAAACAAGGAGAGAAGTAGCAAAACAACAATCAAACAAAATCTTACTAGAAAATCGATACAAGATAAAAAAGGTAAAAGATGGCAAGTGCGATGAAGCGAGAGGTCTTGCTCTCCCTTGCCAAAGGTATGGGTGACGAGCCAGGTCTTCACAGCTCTTCTAAAAAAAATTGAATGGAGGCCATCCAAATCACAGGGGGAGCCAAATTCCAGAAGACAGACATCACTAGAGAGAAGAAACACTTCTAGCGTTCCAATGGGTGACCTTGTTTAATCAAAGGAGACCAGAGCATGTCGATTCTTTATATTTTCCTGTTCAATTTAAGAGAAGAACATCTTCCTTACTTCCCTTATATGAGGAGTGGGGATGAAGGGATTTGCGCTGCTACATAATCTGCTATACAAGTAATCCTCATCTTTGACCACAATTGGGACAAAAATTTCTGTTGCCAAGCAAGGCAGTTGTTAAGTGAGTTGCACCTGATTTTAAGATCTTTTTTGTCATAGTTGTTAAGCTAATTACTGCAGTTGTTAAGTGCAGCTGTTAAGTGAATCATACATTTGTTAAATTGAGTTTGCCTGTCAGAAGATGGCTGAAAAAGTCATAAATTGCAATCACATGACCCCGGAACTTTTCAACCAAGCTCCCAAATTTTGCCAAGCGTGAGGATCAGGTATAAGTGACCTTAGTCAGGGGCACTGTAACTTTGAATGGTTGCTAAATGAATGATTGTGAAGTCAAGGGCTACCTATAGTTTAAGACTGGCAATTATTTTTAATCCTAGTCTTTGGTATCTTGAACTCCTCAGGATTATTACAAGCCACTTTCAAACTATCCTGAGTACTGCTTGTTGAAAAGAAGGGCAATCTGGAGGTTCTTTTACAGATTTACCAGAGGGATAGGACACCAAAGGACCTCCAGAAGTTGCAAAATAATAATTTGCTGGTATCTCTCTATACTGGTTCTGCTGATTGTGGGAAAGGGTCATTCAGTAACAGATGCCCAATTCAGAGGAAGAAAACAGCCCTATGATGTCATTTTGAGGAACCTCATAAGCCCCCCAGACCATTCTGATGTTCTCTTCCTTTCACAGGTTGCCTCCTGGCATTGACGCATCCGTGGTCCGATCATCGCTTTCCCCAGACGGCCTGCTGACAGTAGAGGCGCCCTTGCCCAAACCAGCCATTCAGTCTGCAGAGATCACAATCCCAGTCACTTTCGAAGCCCATGCCCAGATCCCCCCATCAGATGCCAAGAAGCCTGAAGAGGCCACCAAGAAATAAAGACCTTTTGAGATTCATAAGTCTGGTATAGAAAATGGGCATTTAAAATCTCCCATATATTCCATTTTGTAAAGGCATCATTGTAGTGAGGCGTCCGAATAAAACTCTAAGACCTCTACATGATGTTACTATTTTTTTTTTAAAAAAAAAAATTCATGTAAGTTCAGTATTTATTTTCCTTTTCAGAATGTAAGAAAAGAGGAAAAGATCGCTGGGCATCTTTCTTTAACAAGATTGGTCTTTCCCCACAAACATCTCCAGTTAGTTTAGAAGAATTCCCCCCTCAAACTGAGATTTATTTATTTTTATTTATTTATAAAATTTATTGGCCGCTCATCTTACCATAGGGTAACTCTGGGCAGCTTACAGTTACCTCTTAGTGAAAACAAAAATGTTAAAATCAAACATTTACCACCATCGTTTTGCAACCGCTATATATAAATGTAAGGAAAACTACTTGTTGGAGCTTGAAATAGAATAACAATAAATGGGGAGGGGACAAGGAAGTAGCATAACAAACTAATATAATATTAAAAGAATTGGACCAAGACCCTTCCCCCAAATGATCCAACTGTCTCATGAACAAAACGTGAAGAAATCTGGAAGTTTCCCATATAAGGGAAAAAAGAGAAGCCCTAAATGAAAATGCTGCTTGTGAAACAGCCCCCTTTAGGACTCTGGTCTGGTTTTTCTTTTGTTTTTAAAAGATATTTGGTGATAACAAAATGGGGTGTAAGAGGAGGGGCCAAGAGATGGGCAAGCAACTAGACTGACCCCATTTTTGATGCAGTCCTGTCATTAGCAAAGTTTTCTCCACTTGCTGGTGACTATGAAAGAGGGAGGGCTACAAAGCTGCAGTAGTCATTTTGCTTATCACATTTTGGACACACATAATCAGAACAGCAGCAGTCAGAGGAGTATCAGACATAGGGGCAAAGGAGGCTGGGTAGGAATCAGCAATGGGAATGGCAAATATTATGCCCATGTAACTTCTGCCAATTTATGACTGGGTGGAGAGTAGAGCTCACATGCCTTTTTTCGGGAAAGGGAGGAGGAATGGGGGAAATGGCTATACATGGATGACAATGTCATCATGCGAACACTGTTATCTACATACTTGCATCAGATCCTGGGATGCAAAAAGGTAATTGCAAAGTCTGCTTGATGATGTCACTGTTACTCCACACCCATGCGGGCTAATTGGAGCCAAAGCAGAAAAGGTATTTCGGAAAGGACTTGATGCCACTTTAAAGAAGCCGGACTTTTTTCTAATAGCAGTCTCCCAATAAATCACATCTTTGAGTTAATAAAATATAACAGAATAATAGAGTTGGAAGGGACCGTGGAGGTCTTCTAGTCTAACCCCCTGCTCAAACAGGAGACCCTATACCAGTGGTGGCGAACCTATGGCACGCGTGCCAGAGGCGGCACTCGGAGCCCTCTCTGTGGGCACGCGTGCTGTCATCCCAGCCCCGCCTCCCCCGCGGCCCCCTCACCAGCAGCCCCCCTGGAGGAGAGTCGCTCCCGGGCACAGCCTGCATGGAGCAGCGCAGCCAAGGACATAGCCAGGCAGCAGGGACAAGACTCCACCCTCGTGCCTCATAGCGTGCAGATGATGCTGCGGGGTGTGGGTGGTGGGCGTGGCTGCCATGGCGCTGCAGGGCTGCCTGGGCAATCTGCTGCGGCGGGGCATGGAGGCAGTGCGTGGTCCTGCAGGCAGGCGGGGCAGGGGCGGAGCAAGCAGGACGGGAGGCTGAGCAGGGGCAGGGGGCAGTTTTTGGACACTCGGTCTCTAAAAGGTTCGCCATCATTGCCCTATACCATTCCAGACAAGTGGCTGTCCAATCTTTTCTTAAAAGCCTCCAGCGATGGAGCACCCACAACACCTGAAGACAAGCCGTTCCACTGGTTGATTGTTCTGTCAGGAAATGCTTAGTTCTAAGTTGCTTCTCTCCTTGATTAGTTTTCATCCATCATTTCTGTCTTGCCTTCTGGTGCTTTGGAAAATAGGTTGACCCCCCTCTTCTTTGTGACAGCCCCTCCAATATTGGAACATTGCTATCATGCCATCTCTAGTCCTTCTTTTTGTAGACTAGGTACACCCAATTCCTGCAACTGTTTGTCACATGTTTTAGCCTCCAGCCCTCTAATCTTCTTTGTTAAGGATGTTAAGGAGGTGGCAACAAGATTCGAGCACGTATTTTATCAAAACATATTTCCTTTCTTTAATAATAACTTTACTGAAGTTTAAAAGTACAAAGATAAAAAATTAAAATAAATTAATAAAAATATGAAAAAGTACAAAGTACAAAGAGGAAAAAAGGTGGAGGAAGGGAAAAAATTAAATATATTAAAGAAGGAAGTATATATAAATATGTATCAGAACATATTTCCTTAATAAACATCACTCACAGCCTCTTGAATCTGCACTTTTTGTCCTTTAAATATCTCTCTCTAGTCTAGGTATTCCTAAGGGGCTTGGTTTTATTCTCACAGTATGCTTTGTGAAATGAATGGACTGATTAAACTTCTGGAGGCATGGCAATCCGGGGGCTGCATACAAATCCCGGGCCCCATTTGGTAGAAATGAGATCAAATCCTAAGAAATTTGGAACAAAGAGAGCTGGTATGGTCAGGGGTAGGCAACCTTGGCTCTTTTATGACTCGTGGACTTCAACTCCCAGAATTCCTGAGCCAGCCATAAAACAGCTGAGGTTGCCTACCCCTGGTCTAGGTTAAGGCACCAGGCTAGAAAATGGGAGATCATGAGTTCTAGTCCCATCTTAGCCATGAAAGCCAGTTCGGTGACCTTGGGTCAGTCCCTCTCTCTCAGCCAACTCACCTCACAGGGCTGTTGTTGTAGGGAAAATAGGAGGAGGGTGTGTTGGCTAGGTTTGACACATTTGTAAAAATAATATAGGCATCAAACAAACATTCAGTGGAGTGCTTCATTGATTGAAAGGGGAAGAAGGAATTTTAAAACCTTCTCCAACTTTTCCTCCAGACAAATTTGTCCTCACACCAGCAGTGGCTCCAGTTAGGAATAAAAAAGAAAAAGTACAGGCTTATCAGTAAAAATAAGGTTGATTCCAGTCCACTCTCCTGTTTTTTTTTCTTTCCCCATCTCTCCATAATGCTTTCCAGAGAGATGAGAAAGGGAGGTGACAGTGAAACAAAGTTTTCCCATTATGTTCCCATAGAAGGAAGAATTATTAAAATGAGCACAAACCCATCCTCGGTTCTATACCAAAGACAGTGAAGTGCATTTGGCTGCCCTGACGAAGCTTACCGACTTCAAAAGGGCAGCCAAATGCATTTCAGCTCAACCACTTTCTTGGTTAGTAAGATCTACATTCCCATTACAGCCATCAATTGATTTTTATTTATTTTTTGAAACCTGATACATGCACATTTTTAACCGCATTGTTATACCAGCAGCAGAACAGAAAGTCGTGAAAGCTTTTTCTCTTGCAAACATTAGAAGCCTTAACATTAAGCATACCAAACCAACATCACTGTTGGGATCAGATTGCAGGCAATCCTCCAAACTCCAGTGTTGACCAGGGCACAGCGAGGCGGAGGGAGAGAGAGAATTCAGCCCAGAGCAATGCCTCCTTATATGGTCAAGGTTGCAAGGTACATCAGAAGCTGGGCGATGTAGAGAATTTGAGGCAGGGGAGGTAATCAGAAAGGGCAGGCTAAGCAACTAAGATTATTAGGATGCATCCTGACAATATAATTAAAAAGTGCTGCACAGCTTTCAGGGTAACATGCTTACCATTTGTAATTTATAGTGCAATGACCCACAATATGGTGGATGGTATTGTCAGTATTGATTGGACATGTATGTGAGCAACAACCTATATGCTTGCAAAAGTCAAGTCCTGCCCATCTAGCATGCACTCCACCATTAGCACATTCATTTATATGCTACTTTGACTTGGACAATCTCTGTTTTGCGCTGCACTCCCAGTTTATAAAAGATCCTGGAAAATACAGTTGAAAATATTTGCACATGCAGAATGTTGGTTGTGGTGTGCAGGTTACACTAAATCTATCATGTATGAGTTACTACACTGCAATTTTTAATTAGGATCCAAAATTTAATTCTTCCTTTTCTAGCAACAATTCCAGGGCAGTCAGATGATTGCTATGTGGCCCTCCTTTGATAGATTGATTGACTGATTGATTCATTAGATGCCATCAAATTGGTGTTGAATCTTAGCAACCTCATAGTATTTTAGATTTTCTCCAGCACATCTGTTCCAAACCTGATCCTTCAAATCTTCCAGTGATGTATCTATCACGCCATAATTGAGCCTATATACTTTACTGCTGTCTTCTTTCTTTCCATCCTTCCCAGCATTATAACCTTCCCCTTATGTGCTAGGTCTTCACATAATGTGTCTAAAACAGGGTAATTTCAACTTGGTCATTTATATCTCAAGTGAGAACTCTGGCTTGATTTATTCAATGATCCATTAGTTAGTTTTCCTGGTTGCCATGATATTCTCAGGAGTCTTCTCCAACACCAAAGATCAAAAGCATCAATACTCTTTCTATTGTGCTCTAACTTTCACTCCCATAGCCTGTCACAGGGAATTCCACTGCCTGTTTTATTCTGGTCTTTATATAGCCTCCTTACTAGCTGACAATAACTTCAAGTTCATGTAAAAGGTCACTAGGTTTTGCTGCTCAGCTTTAAAAATGTGATAGAAGATGCTTCCCAAAGATCTAGTTCCATTCATATAAATCTTGCTTGCTTTTTATTTCTCTATATGTTTATTTGTCTCTCTTGCCAGCTTCAAAGTTTTATTTATCTATTGGAAGGACAAATTGCAGTCACATGAATGTATCTGAACTTTAGCTCTGCTCCATGGGTCCCTGAGGAAAGCTCTTAAGCTGGCCCAATAATTTTTGAAGACAGCCCCATGGAAGTCTTTCTGACCCTTTCTCAGCTAATTTTTCAGAAAGATAAACAAAAAAATGGGTTAACATCTTGGCGATTTCACAATGCTATGCTTCATTTGCTCTTATTATTTCAATATAAAGAATATAAGATATAAGCAGGTGCTCATTTTTGCACCCCTGTATTTTATTCATGGTCCACTCCAGAAT